CATGGCGGTTCAACATGTTGGACTTAATGGCGCGGCGTCTGTCTTCCATTTCTGCCAATAGATCACTGGACCTTTAAATCAGAAAAATGGATCATAAAAATGACCTTTAAGTTGGTTTGTTATTGAAATGAAGACTCATTAAACCTAATGGAATCCGGCTTTATGAGCTGTAAGGACAGACCTATGGATGAGCATGAAAAGGATAATCCATAGAGCAAAGATATGAAAAGATTTGAGCTATGGACTGTAGTTTAGACTGTAATTTATATTTGGGGGAAATAAAAGAAAATGAGTCAAAAGGAACTCACACATCCACACTCAGCTCATGGGAGACGACTTTTGGTGTGTACGTCTCAGCTACATATTTAAACAGAATCTTGGTCCAGTTTGCAATTCCATACATACGGGAAATGAATTGGTGTACCTTTCTGTCTCTCTGCCCACCGCAGCCGCCTCCAGCCAACCTGGACAGCATGTTTCTCTACACAGAGGACGTGATTGACGTCTCAAGTCGACTTCTCAGCCTGCTGGACCAGAAACAGATTCAGCCTGGAGACCCGCTCTACTTGGAGACTCTGTGTAAGCAAGAAGACTTAACTTTCACTTTTCTGTTGATCAGCATTCCAATCTCTCTCCAAGTCTCTCACACACTGGGTTGAACTGGCTACGTGAGCCTGTTCAGGCTACCATGAGGAAGTGGTTCGGTTGCTGCTGGTTTCACAGGATGGTCTCTCTACATCAGTTGCTCTGATCGCACTTTTAAACAGGAAACAAATACAATCTTCACACGTCTTTTTGTCACATGTGGTTTTCATGTTCATGTGAGAATCTAAATGAGTTTCACACAATTCACAGTCTCAGCAAGTTTCTCTGGATGTTGTAATGGGTGCATCTCCATTTTAATGCACACATCCTAGAGTTTATTGCTAAGGCTTTTGCTTTATTTGCACATGCTGAAAGCCAAGTGTGAAAGGTGACAGTTGAAGATGTATAGGCTGTCTGGGCAGCATGTTGTTCTTGTATTTGTGATATTGTTTTAGATGTATGGAAATGTATTTTTCATTTGTTGGACAAAATTTGACAATTTTTACTTAATGAGGAGAAAACTAAACTTATTTTCCCTCATACACTACTTATTAGGAATTTTTGGCGCAGATAGAAAATGGTGATCTGGACAGTGGGCAGTGAAAGTAAAGGATTTTTTTTTTCATTATGGATCCCATTAAAGCTTAAATAAAGACACTAGATTGTAGACTATTACATGCCGTGACAGCATTTTAACTGGGGAACAAGTGTTGTTCCTCTAATCAGAATATTGGTAGTATTACTGAAAGCATGATACCCATGATTCCTAAATGTTGTATAGATTAGTCAAATACATGAAAATAAAAGATAAATAACTGCCATTTAAGTAAAGCATCTGTTAGCATTTTAAAATTGTTCATTCTTTATTGGTGTCTGAATTGTACTTTGTGCTCCGAGCATCATTCCTGTCTGTAAATATATACTCCTTCCAGGTGATTCATTCCTCAGCCTGTCTTCAGACATTGAGGCAGCCTATAACGAATATTTGGCCAACTACAACAATGTGACAGAGGTGGAGAACAGCTACAAACAGAAGGACGCGCTCTGGAATGACATCGTCAAAGTCATCAAGACCTCAGCGTAGGTTTATATCATTTTTGGTTCACACTAAGACCAGCTGTGCTTAATATTGCTTAAACTGGATAAACAGTAGGCCCTGACATGTTACAGTCGTTGATTTTTGTCCCAAAGTTATGAGTGTTCATTGTTACCATTCATCTCTCCAGGCCTGAAGTAAACGCCACCTCTCTGAGTTTCTTCTTGGTGATGCCCGTTCAGCGGATCGCCCGCTACCCCCTCCTCCTGCAGACCATCCAGAAACACACAGACAGCGCTCACCCAGCGTATGCACTTCTGGAGCAGACCGCTCACACCTCCATCGCCTTGAACTGTCGCATCAATGAGTACAAACGCTTCAGAGAAGTCGGTGAGGCGGGTCACCATCAAGTCCACTATTTTCACATGAGCTGATTACGTTAAATATAATGTTGTACTTTTTTATGGTATGGTATATAGCAAATAGTACAGTAAGGCACTGATGCATCAATTATTACTCTATGTAGCACAACAGGTAGAGGGAGGCAGCAGCATAGAGTGAATATATTGTTCAGAGTCACAGTTAAATGGTATGACTGGTACCGTACTCAAGATTAACTGTGCCTCATATTACTATTATAGCTGACAAATACAAGAAGACAGAGACCCTGACCATAAAGGACAAGATCAACCGCCTCAACACCCACAGCATCGCAAAGAAGACAGCAAGGCTCAGCCAGCACATCAAACATGAGACTGGATTAACACCGAAGGTAGGATAGAGGTTTTATGGCCCTAGTTTAAATAACTCCAGGATGCTGTTCTGTAACTGACCCTGACCAATTGATGTCTACTGTTTGATGATAGGCATTAGAAAGCAGAACCTAACCCATAGGAAACCCTAGAGAAGCAACACATTACAGTTACATTAAAGGATGCTTATACCTCAAGGTAACTCTTCCAGGCCTCTGAGCCACCAATAATCTTCCAGTACACACTCCCTCCAGTTGCAATGCAGTAGTTAATAATTCATCAGAGCAGTGATTCACATGCAGAGTAAACCTATGATATGACCGTTTATTGAAGCTGCCTGTTTGCTCTGGACTGTTGCACTGCCCTTTGCTATGGTTGCACTTGTCAGTCCAATAAAGTTCTTTAGGTCAGGCAAGAGTTCACCTCCATGAGCATGCTCACACATCTCCCTTTTGCTTTCATTTTTAATAGCTATTGACTGCATTACAATTTCCTGCTCCTACTTACTGCCCTTTGATCTTTTTCCATTCCTCACACAAGATGTGGGTTGAAGCTGCATTGCATATACCTGAATATATAGCAATCGCACTTTGAAGCTCAGCAAAACCCAAACTTCTGTGCATTCACATGTCATTTAAAGCTATTTCTTGGTGATTAAAAACAACTTCAGAGGGCAGAATGGACTAGGAGCACCCTTTCTGTGTGCACTACCAAAAACTAATAATTAACATAGTAGGAATTAGACTCCTAGACTGTAGAAAAGCAGTAAAGCTGGGAACAAGCTTAATGTCTAGAAACCATGTTGACGAGATGCACCGAAGTACCAGTGATGCATAACCACACATGCAAAGCAGGGATTCCAGGGATCTTGAGGTTTGGTACAAGTGATTATAGTGAAATTATATATAGCATCATTCCACAGGTGCTGATCCAGCAGCTAAAGAAAGAAAGCTGACACCTTACAGTCAAAGCAAATGACAAGCATATGAAAAAAGTTTTCTACTCACATTATTTACAGTATACTTTAAGCATTTAGCTATAACTTTTTGATGTTTAATGCAATAATACAAAATATGCTTCCTGGAAAACTAATATCCCAAAAGTCCAAACCAGACGGCCCAAATTGTATTCTAATAAAAACGATATAAATATATACAAATATATGTCTCCCTGTGTGTGGTGCTCTAGCTGGTGGATGAGGAGTTTGACGCCCTCGAAGGCTTCTTCTATGTTTTGGAGCATGGGATCCTGGAGCTCCTTGAGAACGTGGAGACGTACCTGCATCACCTACAGGTGGGCTGCATTTGTTCTACACAGTGCTTAATTTGTCCGTTGTGGGCTACTGTAGAAACATGGCAGTTCAACATGATGGACTCTGTAGAGGGGAACAGAGATTCTCTGCATTTCTTTATGTATATGGCCTTGAGCAAGGCACAAAACCCCAGATTGCTCCAGTTCTCACTGGCAATCAGGAAACTGTGAATGTAAATGTGTGTTTCTTTGTTTACATTCACACTGCAGACAATCTATCACTCTGTCTACAAACTGCTGCTCATATCTCACTTGAGTGTTTGATTATTCTAGGAAGTGACCTATATGTGACAGCAGTATGAGATGTTTTGACACCAAGTAACAACTGAAGACACCATCTGTGCTTTTTCATTTTAGTTACAGATTGTAAATTTGATTAGTGAAACATCTCACAGGATACCAAACATGTCATCTTCTTATATATATATATTTTTTTAAATCTTCTTTTCCATGCTGACACCTCTCAGACAAACTGCTCTAATACCTAATTTTTTTAACCTGTCACAGGTGAAATAGAAAATTTGGAAATTCTCATATGAGCATCCCATTTTTTTAAGATTCAGGAATATCATCAAATATCAACATCAAATCTGTGTCACTTTTGAGTTGAAAATCCCACTTTGGATGCTTTGGGCTCCAGAAGAATTCTTTTTACATAACATGCTTCTTTGTCCAACCAACAAGTTTGGGTATTAAGTTCTTTGCACCTAAGAAGACCTGCAGGTATGAAATGGAGGGTAAAGAGTGGTTCCCAAAGCCCAAGGTGACGTCCTCAAATGTGTTGTTGTGTCCACAACCCAAAGACATTCAGTTTACTGTTATAAAGGACTAAAGACACCAGAAAATATTCACACTTGATAGCTAAAATCAGAGAATTTGGATATTGTTTCTTAAAAAAATGACTCAAAACAGTTAATCACTCATCAAACTACTGTCTCCGGGGCCTGTGCAAT